GAGCAGGGCTGTGTTCCAGTAAGGGCATGAAGTAACACATACTGTCCTACACTGGTGGTGGGAGTGTAAATTAGCAAAAGCAATTTGGAAAGTTGTTTGGCATTGTCCACTAAAATTGAACATATGTTTTCCCTATGACTCAACACTTCTAGAATGTACCCAACTGAACTGAGTATACCAAGGTCTATATACAAGAATATTCACAATAGCATTATCCAAAATAACCAAGACTGGAACCAACTCAAATGTCTATCAACAGAGGAACAAATAACTTATGATATATTCATATAGTAGATTACATACAGCGAAGAGAGCTACATACTGCAGCATGCAACAACATGGATATATCTCAGACATGTTATTTGCAAAAAAGCCAGAAATCAAAGAAGGTATCCTCAAAAACTAATCTGCGGAGTTAGGCTACTAATGTGCTAGAAATGTGTTATGAACCTTGGTGATGATCACACAGGTTGTGGCCTTTTGTATTAATTCATAGATTTTGCTCTGTTATACTTTAAATTTTAAAATGCATTTTTAAAAGCTAATGTGTTTATACCTGGTGTGCTGGGGAGTATCTTGTCAACCATTGGACTTCACTGTAAGGTTATAGGTTTAAAGCTAACTTTTTTTGCTGTGTTCCCCAAGGTGGTTGTCCGTAAACATCCTTTTCTTGGGCCAGTTCTTCCAGAGAGGAATCTACAGTTTCCTGCCTATGGAATCTAAGATTGTCTGGCAGCATTCAGGGAGCCAAGCAGCAGGAGACAGCCAGGGTCGTCTTACTCATTATGGCTGTTTCACTAGCAGCCCTTTCCTCTCTCGGCCCCGTGCCTAGTGTCTAGTGCCTCTGCCACAGTAACTCTTTAGAACGGACCTCTACAAGATAGGTCTTCTGAAATGGCTGGGTGAGAAGCTTGGCAAATCCTCCCCCCAAAATCAACAAACAGTAAAATTAGATAATATTGTCTAAAATAACTGTTTAAAGACCAGAAATGACCAAAGGCACACAATAATTCAGAACATTTATTCAAGGAAATCAGTGATTTTGCAACATGAATCAGACCACCTCTGGTTGTCTGCCCGCTCTGTCGGCAGTAGATTTGAGCCTTTTCCACTCTGCTAGATTCTTGCTATCTGTAAATCTGCTGTTTTCCAGAATTTGTTTAAATCTCTTGTTAGCTGTCATCTTTTCTTTTCTTTGTGTACTTAAGAGGTATACTTTTTAAAAGTTCTGCCACTGTCATTTTAATGGGGTTTCAGAAGGTGATGGTTACAATCACTTGGATTCATTCTGCCAGGTTTAATGGAAGTTCTCTATAATGTTCTTCCCCAGACCCTCAGTTCAGTTGGTGGTTAGATTTACCGTCTGCTGTGTAGGTAGCATTGGCCTTGAAGTCAGGCAGTTTTACTGTGTGTCAAGTACCATAATAAACAAGCATTTTATTTGGGTTTTCTCAGCTAGTACAGTTACTTGAAGTGGGCACTATTGTTAACCTTTCTTTAATATTGAGGAAATGGATGCTTAAATAAGTCAATAACGGCATCGTGTAGCTAGCGTGTGGTAAAGCTGAGATTTGCACCAGGTGGTCTGACCTTAGATCCTATGGACTTAACCTGTTTTAAATGGCTGTTCTTGGTATTACCACAGCTCTGTTACAGGAGTGAAATGAGATCATTGATTTTAGACTGCTTTTCATATTGTTGGGTACCATAAAAATATATGAGGCATTAATCTTGAGAAAAATATTAGAGCTTTAATGGAGAGATTTCCAAACATGTAATGATGATAATGTCTGCTTATTTTCTTGTTTCTTTCTCTCTTTTTAACCTTTTTTTTTTAAGGACACTTAATGCATTTTCTCTTCATTGCCCATTCTAACCTTTAACATTTCCATAGACCCAGACAGGAAAAAAATACCAGTTTGTGTTATCCAGTAATTCATATCAAACATGATCTGTCTTCAAACAAATAAAAGGAGTTAAAGACCTTGAACAGAATTATGACATCTAGATGATTAGTTTAACTCAAGTTATATTTAAAAGGAAACTGGGGAAGTCAGATTGTTTACTGACATCGATGCTAAATGGGTGTTTGACTAAAACACTGTAACATGTTTGTATAAATGATACTTAAGGCTTATTATCTAAGATGAGCAAATTTTAGTATTTTAAATATTAAATGAAAATTCTACTGTTTCTGAGTGAGAGTTTTTTCAGACTTATCAGTTTGAAAAAACGGTGTTTTATTCTGTCAGAGGAATATAGATGAGGTGGGAGGCCATTATTTCACTTTTAAGAAATTAACAGTCAAAATTTTATCAACAGATTTCTTCAATCTAGTAAAAGAAAAGTTCATAACCTTGAGCACAGTAATTGTCAGATTTTCTCTAGTGATTCCCAAAATGTATTATTGGCAAAGATCAGCATGGAGACATGGCTCTTAATGCTTGGGTGCATGTGCTGCTTGAGGAGATAAGTTAACACACCAGTAGCCATGAACTTGGCTTTAGGCTTGACCCTTTCATCCCAAAGTTGAGTTAAAGGACTGCATGTGATTATGCCCACCTCCTGGTGACAGTGTTCCTCTGCCTACTTTTAGACTGGATCAGTCTCAGAGATGGACCCATCACCATATCCGACTCCTCTGATGAGGAAGGGGTTCCGATGCTGGTCACCCCAGCTCCTCAGCAACACGATGAAGAGGACCTGGATGATGATGTCATCCTGACAGAAGTGAGTTTTCTAAAACTTCCCATGATAAGGTGTTATTGCAGGTTAATAATTTGGTTTCTTCAGCCACTCAGTGGTGGGTATTGGGGTCTTGTAGAGCAACTGAGAGCGCCTCTGCTTGTGCTACACTTGTAGCCTTGTTTGTTGGCCCTTGTGCCACATTTCTGAGAACAGCTCCCTTTACACCCTACCTGACGTCCCCTTAGCTTAGAAGTCATGAGTTTTGGTCTGTTTCTGGACTTAATTTCTGCACTATTGCTCTGTCTATTCACATACTAGTCCATACCATTGTAATGACTACAACCTTATAATGTATCTTGGAGGGAGGAGGTAGCTCAAGTGGTAGAGTGTATACTTAATATACACAAGGTCTTGGGTTCAATCCCCACTACCTCATCTAAAAATAAGTAAATTAATGTAATTACCTCCCCTCCCCACCCCCCCAAAAGAAAATACATGTATGAGTTTAAGAAAAAAGACAACTTCAGCTGAAGTTTCAGAGGTAACCACATATGGATGAAGTTAGTGTTACAAAGAATGTGGAAAGATGCACAGAGTATGAAAAAAAAAAGCTGCATTTATAATGTGTCTTAATACCAGGTAGTGCTCATCTCCCCTTATTATTCTGTATTTTTCAGAATCACCCAGGATACTTTTGTGCTTATATTTTATAATTTTTTGTTGTTGGGGAAGGTAATTAGGTTTAATTATTTATTTGTTTTAATGGAGGGACTGGGGATTGAACCCAAGGACCTCGTGCATGCTAGGCATGCACTCTACCACTGAGCTATACCCTCCCCCTACTTTCGTGTTCATATTTTAATACAAATTTTAAGATCAGCCTTTCTAATTCTAGTAGATAGGTAGACTGTTTAATTTAAAATGTATTTTATTGTTATAGAACAAATTTTATAATATTGACCCTTTCTAACAAGTTTTGTCTTTCCACTTAGTGTAACGTTCCTTTGCCAGAGCATTTTGAGTTTTTCTTTCTATAGATCTTAAATATTTTAAAGTTTGTTTCTGGTTATTTTATCTTTTCTGTTGCTTTTGTCAGTGGCATATTTTCTTCCATGTATCTTTTACCTTTTTTTTTTAATTTAAAAGTCTTTTAGGTTTTATATTAATTTCATAATCAGTCACCTTGTTGTTATTGTCTGTAATCATTTTTCAGTTGACCCTAATTTCTCAAGGGATGGTGTCTAGTCTGTCTGTAAATAATGATACTTAGTTTCTTCCTCTCCAGCTTTTACATTTGTCTAATTATATTAAGTGATAACTCCTCAAAAACTTTAAGTAATAGTTGTAATGGGAATAAGAAAAATAGCCACTAACATAAATGGGAATACTTTTAATATTTCTTTATTAAGTGTGATGGTGGCTCTTTGCTTGAGAGACAGTTTTTTTATTTATGTTAAGGAAGTAGCCATCTACTTTATTTCAAGTTTTTATCATGAGTAAATGTAGAATTCTGTCTATCTCAGCATCTATGGAGATTATTAGATGATTTTTAAAAATCTGTTAATGTGGTAAATTATTTTGTCTCTGGACAGTCTTTGCTTGGTAATGTGCTATCGGATTCCATTTGCTAAGGTTTTATTTAGGGTTTTCTCCATAGAGCTCATGAATGATATTGGCCCATAGGTGTGTGTTTACCTGTGTTACTCTTGATGGTTTTTTTTATAAACATGATTTTGACTTGATGAAAGGACTTTAGAAGTTTTCTTTCTTTTTCTGTACTGTGATAAATTTTTAAATAATGTTGGAATTACCTATTTCTTAAAGATTTGGTAGAATTTACCCTAAAGGTATCTGGTTGCTTTTCATGGAGGACACTTCTTTGAAACTGTTTCAGTTTCCTCCATGGTGAGTGATATGTTTAGATTTTATGTTGTTTTCATTATCAGTTTTGTTCACTGATATTTTCCTAGAAAATCATTTATTTCTTCAACATTTTTAATGTATTTAATAGAATTAATCAAAATAGCCTGTTCTTTTTACTTTCTCAGAACTTACAATTCCTCCATTTCCTTTTTCTCTTTTCGTGTACTTGTGTTTTTTTCACCTTTTTTCTTGATTTGATGAGCTAACCATTATCTTCCTTCTTCCCTTCTCTTCCACTCAGTCTTAAGAACCATGAACCTACTTCTGTCTCTGTAGATTTGCTGATTCTGGACATTGTATGTGAATAGAATCTTTAAATATCTGATCCTTTGTGACCAGCTTCTTTCATTCAGCATAATATTTTCAAGGTTCATGTGTGATGTAGCATGCATCAGTTCTTCATTCCTTTTTATTGCTGAGTAATGCAGTATATGAGTGTACCACGTATTGTTTAGCCTTTTCTCTATTGATGGGCATTTGAGTTGCTTCCATTTTTTCGTTATTCTGCATAATGAATAATGCTGCTATGAACATTCGTAGAAAATTTTCTATGGATATATGTTTTCATTTCTTTTGAGTATTATCTTAGTCTATTTGGGCTGCTGTAACAAAATACCGCAGACTGGGTAGCTTATAGATGACAGAAATGTATTGCTCACACTTCTAGAGTCTGGGACTCTATCAAGACTCCAGCATGATCGTGTTCTGGAAAGGTCCTCTTCCTGATTCATAGTTGGCACTTTGTCACTGTGTCCTCACATGGTGGAAGGAGCTAGGAATCTCTCTGGAGCCCCTTCTATAAAGTCTTTAATCCCATTCGTGAAGGTTCTACCCTTATGACTTAGCACCTCTCAAAGATTCTCCCTACTAATACCATTACCTTTGGTGGTTAGGATTTCAGCATATGAGCTTGGGGGCTGAGGGGGAGGGTGCAGACATTCAGACCACAGCAGTTATATACCTAGGAATGAAATTGTTGAATCATGAGGTAACCCTATGTTTTACTCTACCAGACTGTCTTCCATAGCAGTAGCACCATTTTACATTGCTACTAACAGTGTATGAGGGTTCCAGTTTCTCCATATCCTCACCAATAATTGCCATCTGTCTGTTTTGTCACGGCCCTCCTTGTGGGTGTGAAGTGGTATCTCATGGTTTGAGTTGCATTTCCCTGTGGCTGATGTTGAGCCTCTTTTCATGTGCTTATTGGCCATTCGTATATCTTCTTTGGAAGGAATGTCTATGCAGATCCTCTGCACATTTTTGAAGTGGTGGTGTTTTTTATTATTAAATCTTTATATATTCAGAATACTATACCTTATCAGCTGTCTGATTTGTGGATATTTTTTCTCATTTTGTAAATTGTCTTTTTACTTTTTTGTTAGTGTCCCTTAATCACAAAAGTTTTAAACTTGCAGGTTCAGTTTGTCTATTATTTTCCTTTGTCACTTGTTTTAGTATCATGTCTAATACACACAGTCTATTTTAAGGGCTAGTTTAGGCTTCCTCGCAATGTAGAGGCCTCAGCACTAATGTATATTAAAGCTTTAAACTCTTCCTGGATACTGTGAAGACTTTAGAACACTTTAACTCTGTTTATTCACCTCCTAACTTAAATACTGTTCTATTAATATATTTTAATTCTGTATACATTTTGTTTTGTTTGGGGCAGGTAATTAGGTTTATTTATTTTATTTTTAATGGAGGTACTGGGGATTGAACCCAGGACCTCATGCATGCTAAGCACACACACTACCACTGAGCTATACCCTCCCCCTAATTCTGTATAGATTTTTTTAAAGCCTTACTTTTTTTTTGTTTTGCGTAGTCACTATTCACTTCACCTTCTCCAGATATTTATCTTTTTTTGTTTTTCTTCATTCCCTTTTGCATCGCTGGCCTTAAAACGAGATTTTTTATTCTATCTGAAGAACACTCTTTAGGATTTTCTTTACAGTAAATCTGATACAAAATTCATTGTGACAGTTATTTTCTTTTAACACAAGGAGGATATTATTCCAATATTTTCTGGCTTCCATTTTTCTATTGAAAAGTCAGTCTTTTTTTTTTTCCTTTGAAGGCGGTATGTGCTGCTTCTTTAAAATTTTATCTTTGTATTTAATTTCTGCAGTCTTCCTATGCTATATCTAGGTCTTTGTTGTTTGGGGTTTTAAAAATTCATCTTGCTTAAATCTTCAGAACTAAAATCAAGCCACTGTTCTTGAATATTTGGATTTTATCTTCAAATATTGCTTCTTATCTCTTTCCTCTTCTAGACCTTTAGTTACATAATTGGTAAAACCTTTTCACTGTATTCTTTATGTCTTCTATTCTCTTATCTATTTTCAGTCATTTTGTATCTCTGTGTCTTATTCTGGCTATTTTCTTCTGACCTGTGTTTAATTTCACTCATTTCTTTCTTCATCTATGTTCATTAAAATGCTATGCCCCATCCATTGATTCCTAATCTCAATTATTGTATTTTTCCATTCTGGAATTTCCATTTGATTGTTTTTTTTTTCTTTCTTTAAAAAAGATATTTTTAATGGAAATACTAAAGATTGAACCTAGGACCTTGTGCATGCTAAACACACACTACCACTGAGCTATACCCACCCCATTTTTTTCTTTCTTTCTAACAATTTCTAGTTCTCTGCTGAAATTTTCAATCTAGTCTTTTTATTTCCTTAAACATGCTAAGCATGTCATTTTAGAATCCATATCTGATAACTTCACTGTCTGAAGTCTCTGTTGGTTTGTTTCTGATGTCTGGTGCTTCTCTTGTTTCGATTTTCTGTTATGTTGCATCAACTTCTTTTATGCCTGGTTATTTTTTATTGAGTGGTAGTCATCATTGTATATGAAAATTTTGAGGTTCTAGATGATGTTGTCTTTCTTCAGAGAGGGCCCACATTTGTTTCTCAAAGAAGGCTAGGGAGACCGACAATCTCAGATTCAGGTATTTAAACTTTTGAAACTAGGATTTAGTTCCGGGGAGACCCAGCATATTTCCAGTTTACCCTTATTGCAAGGATTCACCATAGAACTTGAGATTTACCAGACCTCCTCCCCATGGTGAGTTCTGGATTCCAGTTTTTGTGCACTTAGGTCTTCAGTAAGGATATCAGAAGTTTTGCTCATTTTCTCATTCTTCAGCCAGGTCTGAGATTGGCAAATGCATCTCTAGAGGAAACGTAGCCCAATGTGGGGCTTATTTTGCTGGATTTCTTCCTCCTGAATCCTGTCCCCCTTTAATATATCTCTGAGGCTTTCAAGTAGATATTTTGGTTTTGCTTTCATATTTTGACCAGGGTTTCTGCTTTTACTTAATAGAAGGGTTGATTTGTATGATCTAGCATGGCATTCCTAGAATCAGAAATCCACTTTTGTGTCTTTACCCATGTGCTTTCTGAACCATTGTGTTCCAGTAACTCTGCATTATATACAGGTATTATCTTGTTTTATTGTCCTTGGCTTTAGTGTACTTCACAGATAATGCATTTTTTTTTTTACAAATTACAGGTTTGTAGCAACCTTGCATTGAGCTAGTCTTTGGCACCATTTTCCTGGTAGCATTTTTAAAAATTAAGTATGTGCATTGTTTTTTTAAACATAATGCTATTGCACACTTAATAGACTGCAGTGTAGTGTAAACGTAACTTTTATATGCAATGGCAAATGAAAAAATTTCATGTGGCTTGCTTTATTGGGATATTCGCTTTATTGCAGTGGTCTGGATCTGAACCTGAAATGTCTCTGAGGTATGCCTGTAGTTGATTATACAGTTGGATTTTGCCTAGTGAGTCTATTTAAAGAGACTTTTAAATTTACTAGGTAAATTGATCTCATTTATATTTATTAATGTGACTATGATAGTTTTTAATTCTCTCACAGTATTTAATGTTTTATTTTTTATTACTTTTAAAAAATAACCTTTCACTGTATTCCCTGCATCTTTGAGGTTTTGTTTTTATTTATATTGGAAGCGTATGTTCTTGCTTATCATTTGAAAAGTTTTTATCTTTAGGTTTTTTTTTTCCTCGGTTTTTTTTAGTTCTTCTAGTGCGTGCTTCTATACTTTTCAATGCTGTCCTTACATGTGTCCTTACATTGATTTATAAGTTTAAGTGTATCTTTGGGCCCTTAGCTTCTCCATTTCCCTTCCCAACTTCTTGATGGTTACCTTATTTCTACAAAATCATCATTTAAAACATTTATATTAAATAATTATTTCATTACTTCTCTGTTCTTCCTTTTCTCATTCACTGTTTAGTACTGATTTCATCGTACGTGTCACTCATCTACCACTTCTTCCTTTTTCAGTAGTTAGGTATTAGTACTTTGAATGCAGTTGAAGTTTTCCTGGACCAGCTCTTTGTAGGCAGTTACATTGGGGAAAGGCTCAGGCACTATTCTTGACTATCAGGAATTCTCCTTCCTTGTGACAGAGAATGTTGGGGCAGGGGGGCAGGACGGTCAGCAGATGTTTGCACACATGCACATATACTTATTTGGCCTTATTTCTTACTGCTTGTCAGAGATGTATGTCATCATTCTGTCTAACCTTCTCAGAAAATCTTTGCTACCAAATGGGGTGGAGATTCCCATTTTTCCAAACAAGAGATTGCTATTTTTGCTCCACAGAGCACACCATCTACTTTGGAAAACTCTTTGCCTTTCTGAAGCTTTTTCTCCCTTGCCTGAAATCTGGTTGTACTTCCCTCGCTGCATTCATCAGCTCCTCATGTATATTGTGATTTGGGATCACAAATGTCTGCTGGTTTCATCAAAGATTTTCAGTTCTGTGTCTCATTCTCCTCTCTGGATTGGGGTGATTTCAGAGAAGGAAGGATCAGAGACATCTTTATTCTGCTACCTTAAAATTAGGCATTCCACTTTTTAAATTTACAAGTAACACGTGATTATGTTTTCTATAGATATCGAAACAGTTAGATAAAACTGAAGTCTCTCTTCACCAGCCCCTCCTGCCCCAGAGATTTCCCAGAGGAAATGTTGTGCCAATTTGGTGTGTATCCTTCTGGCTCTTTTTCTTTGACTTCCTATGTATGTATATGTGTGTGTGTGTGTGCGTGCACACACACATGCTCACGTATATATATGCTTTTAGAAATGGTATGTTTGTGCTGTTTGGTTTTGTTTAAAGAATGGAATTACTGTATGTATGTATTGTTTTGCAACTTTTCTTCACTTAATAACATTTCTTGGTGAGCTTTCCATTTCATCACATATAGATACCTCTTTTGAGGGGAGGAGAATTGGAGAGTATTTGTAGAGCAGATAAATAATAGGTTTACTTCACTGTTCTCCTGGGGACAAACTTCAGAATGTCTCCACTTTTTTCCCTTTTATGTTAGAAGCAGTGTAGCAGTGAATATCCTTGTATATGCCTCCTTTGTATACATAAGAGTTTGTAGAATAGATGTGAAAAATAAATTTATAAATCATAAGGATATATGTTTTAAAAAAATAAGTTATACCAAATTGCACTCCTAAATTCACCAGCAGTGAATGATAGCGTGAAAGTTCTCCCACATCTGTACCAGTGTTTGACATTATCTAGCTAAAAAGTTGTTTGCCAGTCCTATTGAGGGGTTGGTGAAATCTTGTTTCAGTTAGCATTTTGCTGAATTACTAATGGATTTAGATTCTTTTCATGTGTTTATTAAACATTTCTCATTCCTCTACTGTGTTGTCATTCTTTCATTATTTTCTCTACTATGCAGTTATTTTTGCTTTAGTGTTCTCAGGTGAAATTGTAACTCAGATTATAACTCAAGCCTCAATCTATGAATGGCTACTTTGATTCTTAGTTACTATAGTGTGATCAAATTTCAATGTTAAGATAAACATGAAGAATAGGTTTTATGGGGGAGAGTGTTTTTGTTTTTGTTTTTGTTTCTTTCCTGTCCTACCTCAGAAGCTCAGTATAAGTACATGAGGAGATACAGACATAGGAAAAATTGAATTGTTGTTATTAAAATTTCATTTTTTCTTAGACAAATAAACCTCAGACCTCAAGACCCAATCTCATCAAACCAGCTGCTCAATGGCAAGATCTCAAAAGATTGGGAGAAGAAGGGCCTAAAAAGCCTAGAGCATCCTTTGAATCAGATAAGAATGGCTATTTTTCCGTGTGTAACAGCTCATTGTTTGATTCTGGGGCACAGGATGATTCTGAGGATGACTACGGTGAATTTCTAAGTCTTAGGCCTCCTGCAGTTTCTGAATTTATTAAGCCAAGTGGTCAAACAGAAGGAGAATCCAAGCCTGGACCCAGTCATAACCAAACAACAAGTGACATTGTCAACCCCAGATCAGAGCAGAAAATTATTATCTTGGAAGAAGGTAATCTTCTTTTTCCAGAAAGCGATCCTTTGGACACTCAGAACCAGTCATCTGAAGACTCAGAGACAGAGCTTTTATCAAACCTGGGAGAATCAACTGATATCCTAGATGACCAGGCCATCGAAGAAGACTGCTGGTTAGACCATCCTTACTTCCAGTCTCTGAACCAACAGCCCCGTGAGATAACAAACCAGGTTGTTCCTCAGGAGCGGCAACCTGAAGCAGAACTGGGCCCACTGTTGTATCAGCGTGAGCCCCCAGGATCAGCTTTTCCAAGACCAGCTTTTCCAAGACCAGAACCCCAGCAGGATGGGATTCCAGGCCCCTCTTCTCCTCAGCCTGCCCATCCTCTGGGAGAGCTTGAAGACCAACAATTAGCAATAGATGATGAAGAGCCAGGTCCAGCCTTTCCGCTGCAAGGATCTCAGGAGCCCAGTTTGGAAAACCTTTGGGGGCAAGAGTCGCCTGACATGGATCAAGAACTCATTGCACTATTAGTGAAAGAAACAGTAAGTTTCATTGTGATAAGTAAATAATTACAGACACTGAATATACTAAGTTTCCTTTTGTTGCAGAAACATTGTATGTGTGGACTTCGTTTTCCTAAGGGGTGTATAAACTTGATTTGTAGAATAAAAGGAAAACTCTGAAGATAATGAAAGTTGAATCAGAATTCCTTAATCTATCCTTATCCCCCCTGCAAGCCCTCTGGGATTCTATCTGCAGATCGTAGATGCCCTGGTGCTGTCATATTAGCAGTCTGTCCAGTTTATAAAAAGGAATTGTGTTAACTCCAAATTCAAACCCTGAAAGCAGGTTAATAAGTTATCTAGAGCTGCACTGTCCACTGTGGTAGCCTCATTTGGCTATTTAAAGTTAAATGTCTTACAATTAAATAAAATTTAAATTTTCATTTTCAGTGGCACCGAATTTTAAGTGCTCAGTAGCCACATGGGGCTGAACAGCTGCCATATTGGAAAGCACAATATAGAACATTTCCATCTTTGCATCATGTTCTGTTAGATAGCACTGATCTAGAAGTAATGCAGGGCTTCACGGGCTGCCGTTTACCTTTGAACTGTCTTTTAACCCTTCTTCCCCCAGGTTTTTTCATCTGGTCCAGTTGGTCCTGTGCTGCTTGAGGGTATACACTAGGAAGTGCTTTATTTGTCTTTAGACTCCCTTTACCTGGGCAGAGATGTTCAGTATTTATTGAAAGAATGAAGAATGGGCATGCAGAATGGGAGTGCAGGACCAGATGATCTCTAAGGACTTTTCTAAATTTTGTATTTATGTAGACACATAAATCTGAGCACCTTGTGTTTTGTTTTAAGCCAGACACAAACCTGCTTTCCTAGTTTTTAGTCATTTTATATGTTTTTTACCATCTGGTTTTTATTGCAGTTTGAGACATAAAATGTAATGTTTTTATTTCTTTCCAGGAAGTAAGATTTCCAGATGTAGCAAATGGGTATATTGAGGAAATAATTCATTTGAAGAATTACTATGATTTGAATGTGTAAGTATACCAGCATGCCTTTCTTTTTTTTATTGTGGTAAAATATACATAACATAAATATTTACCATTTTAACCATTTTTAAGTGTACAATACAGTGGCATTAAGTATATTTACAGTTTTGCACAACATTACCATCATCCATCTCCAGAACTTTTTCATCTCCCCTAACTGAAACTCTGTCCTCATTAAACGCTAACTTCCCACTCCCTCTCCCAAACCACTGGCAACCACTGTTCTACTTTCTGTCTCTGAATTTGACTCCCTAGAGACCCCATGTAAGCGGAATCATACAACATTTGTCCTTTTGTGGCTGGCATATTTCACTTAGCATTGTGTCTTTTTTAATCATCTTATTAGAAGAGTTCTAATTTTAGTTGTATACAAAGTGTTTTCTTGTAGAATCCTGCTTACTTATAGAATTAAAATGTTTAGTAAATTCTGAGCATTGACACTACCTACATTTTGGTCAAGATATTAGAAGGCATTTTCTCCCCTATGTTTGTAACAAAATATTCTGCAACTACTCTGCCTATTTGGAAAAATGTTTGAAAGTGTTTCTTTAGTTTTTATTATAAAGATGATAAGTGTATTTTTTTAAATAAAAGTATCCCAAAGAGACATGCTGTACACCAGAAATTGACATGTGGTAACTGATTGTACTTCAATAAAAAATAATAATAAATAAAAATAAATTTTTAAAAAGTATCCCAGAGAATACAAAATGAAAAATAAGTCTCTTTTCTCTAAGACTTTTTCGCCTCCTTCTAATCTGCAGAGGTGAAGGAACAGTTGTGAATTTATAAATAAGAGTAGATATTGAACTTAATAAAATCTTCAACTAATGAATATAGATTATTAATTAAACAAAAGAGTATACTAAACCTCTGTCCTCAAAGATTATATGCTGTACTGTAGAACTCAGCCAAGGATGAGTGGGAGCTGGCTGCTGTGACCAACGGGGAAGGGCCCCCTTTCCCAGGTCAGCAGCCCAGAGGAGGTTCTTTTTTTAGTATAAAGACACTGTTGGTTCCATTGGCAGCCTTGTCTATCCCCTCTGTCCAGAGGCAGCCACTGTTTTTTAAACCAGGGTCAAATCAAGGTTTCATAATGTATTTGTCTCTTTAGCTTCTTAATCCAGAGTAGGCCCCTGTTAGCTTTTTTTAATGTCATTGTCTTTTTTCCCCTGTTATTTTTTAACATTAAAAGTTGAAAGACTGTAATATTAACACCCTGTATCCACCACCTAGATTATTATCTGCCATTCTGCTATAAGGAAGATTTTGCCTTTTTATTTTCTCTTGCTTTTTTTTTTAAATCACTTTTTTGTGATTTTTTTTTGTAGACATAAAGGTTTTAATAAGTGGTGTTTTATAATCAGTTATAGTTGTTTTTCTTCTTGATACTGAATCATCCTAAATTTGATGGGTAGGAGCTTCCTCAGATGCACCTGTGTCTTTTTGGCATGACTCCATTAGTCTTTGAGCATGTCCTTGCTTTCTGATATGCCAAGTTACCCCAGGCTTACCTTGAACTTCTCTGCCCCAAACCTGGAATCTGTCATTTTCCCAAAAGCCAGGTTTCTTAGAATAAGGTTTGGTATTTATAACTAACATCTTGGGGTTAGACTTACTCATCATCGCTACTAGCCTGTCATAACTTCTAGGACCTTTCAAGAGACAAACCAAGAATATATGTTTTTTTGTCACGAATTTTTATTCATAATTTCCCATTCAAATTTAACAGTAAGATTTTTTCTCAGTCTTTACAATTTTTTTATATTTGTTTTTTCCACTAAAAACTTAATTTCTAATAACATTAATATATTTTTTCTTTTATCCTACAATACGTATAAAATAGTTTAAATATTATAGTACCAATGTTACTGCTAATAATAACTACTGAGTGAAATAAACAATATTTTATAGTTATATTTACACTTAATGTATATTTCACGAAACCATATAGTTAAAATGTGTAGACTGTACTGGGTTGTAGATTGATGATGTTGGTCAGTTCTGGAAATTTTGTGGCCGTTACCTCATTAAATAATTTCTTTGCCCTTTTCTCTTTCTTCTGTCTTCTGTAACACTTTTCTTCTCCCCCTGTCCTCCATGGCTCTTAACTCCATCTCTTTTTCTCTTGAGATGCATTCCAGGTGATTTTTCAGATCTAACTTCCAGCTTACTGTCTTTTCAATGGGGTATAATCTTCTGTTAAATCCACCTGTTATGATTATGATTTTAATTTCAGTTTCTATATTTTTTTTCATTTCTAGTATTTTTATTTTTTAATTCTTCTGGCTGTTTTTCTAGTGTTTTACTTTTTGTTTGTATTTTTAATCCTTTTAGTTCTTTGGGTACAATAGTCATAGCTTCTTTGTGTTCTGAGTATGATCATTCTGACATGTGAATTTCTTGTGAATCCCATTCTGTTTCTGCTGGTTCTCATGGTGTCCTGTTCACTTGTGTATTTTGTAGAATTTGACTGTTATCTCATTACTTGAGATCTTGATAGAAATGATTCCTTCAGGGAGGATTTATTTTAACTTTTGTCATGTCCTTAAGGGTAATGTCAGTCTAGTACTACTTCAGGTTGTTGTCTGAAAGTTTTATCTTACCCGGATAGTAAGAATTTAGTCCTGAGTGAGGACTGAGTAATCGTCACAAATCCTCAGGAGTTTTGTCTTCCCCTCCATCCACTCAGCATCAGTGTTAAGATGTGCTTTTCCGTATGGTATCTGAACTTTTTCTCTTAACCTGTATGCCCTGTGAAAACTAAGGGCTTAAACTATTAGGATCAACAAATGCCCTCAGGAAAATCTGGATTTTATGTTTGGCTTACTTCTCGGAGGTTTCTGTTTCACTTAGGTTTGGGCTCCTGGAAATTCCTTACTAGTTTAAATATATTGGTGTACTTTAAAAGTTTTATTTTATCATTTCATTCATCTTTCTTAAAATTTTCAATTTGGAGACTCCCTGGGTACTTAATCTTCCATCCTGCTGGAAGGGGAAGCTATTTCGTTATTTTACATGCCATTTATTCACTCTTCTCAAACCTTTCCTCCATATTGTATATAACATTTTTTTTTTGGACTGTAACGCACCTACAGAAAAAAGGCACAAAATGCACAGGCACAAGATGCACAGCTTAATAATTCATCACAAATCAAACATTCATGTAACCATCACCCAGAAATCTGAAAGAAATAAAACATTGCCACCATCTTTGAACACTGTATGAAGATTTCACGTAGTCTATTCTTTTGTGACTGGCGTTTGACACTCAGCATTATGTTTGAGGTTCATCCGTGCTTTGTATAACTATAGTTTGTGCATTTTTGTTTCTGTGTAATATTCCACTTATATCAAAATATTATAATTAGGTTTTTCCCTCTGCTTTTGATGGACATTTGGGTTGTTGTCACTTTCTGGCTATCACAAATAATGCAGCTATATACATACTTGTACATGCCTCATAAGCTTCCAGTCTTCACTAGAATTGGCCTTCTTTACCAATATCTTAAAGCAGAAATTTTTTTATTTTATTTTTTAAGTTTGGTCTTGTTTCTCATCTTTTGGGGGATTGGTTTGCAGTTACTAGAAGTGGAAGTGCTGTTTCATTCTAAGCTTTTAAAGTATTTTCTTAGCTGAATCACTGTACTGTACACCAGAAGTTAACACAACATTGTAAATCAACTATCCTTCAATTAAAAAATGAATTAAAAGCAAAAAATGAAACCACCAACGCATTCCAAGGCTAAATAAATAAATAAATATTTTATTTTTGAGTATGTAAACAACATAACAATAACTACATTATTTTTAATAAACTTTATTAAAGCAGTTTTAAATAGCAAAATTGAGCAGAATTAACTACAATTTTTACAATGAAAAATATCTCTGAGATTTGCACTCAAGTGAAAAACAGCTTTTTTTTTTAATAATGTACCTTTTAGTTCTTTGAATGAAAACATAATTTTTCTCAGAGGGTAAATACAATTTTGTGTGTCTTGATTATGAAATAATGTTAAGGAAAAAATATTTTCCTTTTTTCCCCCACAGTGTTAATAATGATCACCTTTAATGACAATCATTCTGTTGAATTTTCCTCTTTGTTAAATACTTTGCTTGTTCATAGTTGTTCTGATAAAGACATTATTCTATGTGTAGCACCCCCCCCTTTTTTTTTTAATATATTGTATACTACATGCTGAAACCCTAAAAGTTAAGATTTGGGATCAGGGATTATAAATAAATTCATCGTCCTTGAAACATATTTCCAAATAGCTTTCCAGTGGAGCTGTACCACTGTATGTTGCTATTAGAGACGTATGAGAATTGTCTTAATAATTACTCAACAATATTGAGTAATGGTCTTGTTTTTGTTGTTGTTGCTAAAGTAATTGTGTTGCATTTCTTTGATAATTTTGTAGCATTTTTTTCATATATTTGTTTATAAACTGTATTTCCCTCCTATGTGAATTGTTTACTCCTCTTACCTCATTGAATTTCTTTTTTTGTTAATGTTTTTCTGATTATGAAGTATAATACTTGTTTGTTCATTTTAGAAAATATAAATGATAGAGAAAAGTATAAACCTAGCACATTTAGTTAGAGAATACTGATTTGAATAGAAAATACCAAGTAATACTATGAATAATTTGTAGTAAATATTAAGGTAACTCTTTAGAAATTTAGTATGCTGTAATGTTTTCCTCTCGTTCTACAGATGAACATATTATTTTTTAAATATCTTCAAGATTAGTTGCGATCACAGTAAAATGTGATCAAATTGACAGATTCTGTGAGAGTTCTGTTCTCCTACCTCCCGAGTCTTGTACGTGTCCTTTTTTCTGGGGATTTACTGACTGTGCTTTTCACATCATTCAGAAGCAAACATTCATCCTTAAACTTGTAAAAATTCTTGTGAAATCCAAAGGAAGAGGAATGTTCAGTAACTGAATCTTTTCAGACCTACAGTCTGACTTTCCTGTTACTTCCCTTTCATTCCTGTGCACTTGAGACTAAGTTGTTAATTCTCACAACTAAGTTAAGTGTTGTTAATGTAAAGCTGAAAGGAGGCCCAAAGCAGAGTTGAGCAAACTGGTATATTGTAGAGCTGACTCTTAGTCACTTTGTGTGCAGTCTTTAAATCACTTTTCGATGTACCCAGCTGGTCATTTTAGCTGGAGGGACCTCTTCACCAGAGACCCCCTGTGATGGTAACCTACTCTTAGGCTGATTAACCAAGACTTCACTCACATGTGATGCAACTTAAATTGGATCGAGGGAGCAACAACTATTAAAGAATAAAAGCTTAGAATATTAACCTGGCTTACTTAGCAGGAGTGCTTTCTTGAAACCCTTTAGCTTGTCAGATCAGATCAGGCATGAAATAGTCTCAGTGGATGGGCAGATTTGAGTTCTGACAAGCCTCCCACTGCCTTTGCCCCAGGCTATAAATATTCATGTATTTGGTTGTAGCTCATTTCTGTAGAAGGGAAACTTTGTTCTTAATTATCTGTGCCACTGAATGTCATTTAACTCCAGGAAAGTAGAGAAGATACTAGAATGGAAAAGAATTTTGGCATTTTAGAGTGAGAGCCTCTGATACCTGCCGTTTGAAGTTCCATATCTTGCAGCGTTTCAATATGTGAAGTTTTTAATGTGGTTAAAAATATAAAATGAATTGGCAAGAGAAGAACCCCTAAAATCTGGGGGTTCTTTTTCCCAGAGATTATATCTACTGTTTTACTTCCATATCATGTACTTTAGAAAATGCATAAAAATAGAAAATTTTAAAGGATGAGATTTTAAACTAGAAATAGAAGTTTTAATACTTTTCTTCCAACATCCTAGCAGATCATCTTCCGTGTTCCCCACTTGGGAGACTTCTGGCTTCACTCATGCATGGCTGTTATATCAAAGAAGATTCTTTACTATTTGACCTTTTTGTCTTTCCCCGAATTCCTGGTTTTTGGCAGTTTGTTGGCCTGTGGTAGTCACACTTGTCAGAACATTACAAACAGGCAAGATTGAGATGGAGAATCTGTTCCATGTCTGGTTTGTAGTACGTCCACGTGTGCGTGTGGATGGGGTTGTCTAGAGCTCTGTGCCTTTCCCCCAAACTACCAGGTTCTTAAAGGTGACTGATGCTCTGATTAGCCCTCAAATATCTGTATAACCTGTCGTGCTCATCAGTTGGTACTGGAACAAAGAGTTACTGTCAGTGATAGTGGTTTGCAAGGCAGTTGTGCTCAGAATTCTTGACTTTGGGTGTTCCCCTTGCTACAACTATAATATGGGTAAGGGGGCTTTTCCCTCTGCAGGCCCCTGGCATTGTGTCCAAGAGACTGGGCATGGAAATAGGAGGAGGGGGGCTTAGCAGTAGGAAGCATGTGGGACTCCTGGCAGTGATGATGGAGAAAAAGGTGTTGAGGTGTGTTGACCAGTCCTGGAGCAGGAAGAGGAAGAGGGGGCTTTGCAGTTGGGCCAGTGCTAAGGGTCCTAAAGAGGGAAGGGAGGTTACTGAAGAAGCATGCCTCCCCATTTTTTAATCTCCAAACACTGGCTCCCAGCTGAGAAGAGGAGCTAGAGGAGAGCAGATTTTCTGTCTTCTGCCTGCTGGACCTACTTAATTAGAGGCTGTACCTTTGACGCTGAACAGGAGAGACCACAGGAGAAAGGAGCTGAGTGAGAATCGTGTTGGGGTACCTACGAGGGAGTAAAGTCATCCTAAGAATCTGCAGGAGCAAGGGAAGGAAGAGAGAGGGGAGGGGAGGCCCCAGCTGCTCTGTGACTGAGAAGCTTTCTTGCCACAGAAGTAGCTCATGCTGCACACCGCCCAGGCTGTCCTTGTCACTGTGGGATCATCCCAAGAGTACAGTTTGTTGCCTTCTTTGGTTGTTGCAGGGTGAAGGGCCTTGCTAGTTAACATTTGTAAATCTGGGTGGTGATAGATCTGTACGTGTTATCTTGTTCTCCATATCCTTACTTTTGAAGAATTTCCATAGTAGTGATATAAAGACCAAGGCTGTGAGTTTGGTACAAAGAGAGTCTGTTCTTAAGCAAACAGGGTGTGTTCCTTCAACCTTACGTCAACTGAGCATCCCCCAAATCGTCATAGGGATAAAAAAATTATTAATGAATTAACAAAAGATCTTCATTTATTTATTAGCTCTCTTAGAAAACTATTTTGAGTTGTGAATGTAAATAAACTTTTTGCCACCCCTTACTTGTTACAGTTTTCCTGACAAACAGTAAATAAATTTTCTTCTCAATTCTCCAGTTCCATATAGTTTACCCAGTAGAAATTTCAGTGACTTCATTACATTGATACCCAACCAGTAGAAAAACTTCAAAGGAGTTTACATTCATCAATATATTTCTTGCTTTTTAAATTAGCAAGTGAAAATAGAAATGCAGCGTGGCTGTCTTCGTCTGTCTGTCTGTTTCATGCTTCTGGTCTGCAGGCGTTTCAGTTCCTTGCTAGGTCAGTTATAATCTGTGACTGGAGACATTTTTTTCAAACATTATGTTTGAATCAATGGGCAAATGTGGGATTTAGGAGCAGTATGAAAGTAACCTCATTTATTTTTGCAGACTTTGTAATTTTCTTCTGGAAAATCCAGATTATCCAAAGAGAGAAGATAGAGTCATTATCGACCCCAGTAGCAGCCTGCTTTCCAGCCAAGATGAGACCAAGGCAAGTGGTGCTCTTGTTCTGCAGTGTCTACCTGGAAATGCTCTGCTTTTTTCATCATTTTTCGCAGGGTGAAGTGCTTTGGCAGGACACTTTTTTTAAGACTATGCAGGAAAATAAGATTTCAGAATATACCGTTCAGTAGAATTTCCAGTCTGAGCCTCTTTGAATCCTGTATTTGACTTCTTTCATGGTAACTATCTTCCCTTCTCCACAAAGAATTAAACAAATCCTCTTTAATCCTACAAATCAGGTTCCTAAGATGAAACAGGAATTGGCCAGAATTCTTTGTGTCTAAATTTAGTTTTTTAACATTTTATTATGAAAATTTTCAAACATACAGTAAAGTCAAAAGAATTTTCCATTACCTATGTAATCAGCAGTACTATTAAAAGTTAATATTTTACTATGTCCATTTTGTCACAAATCTGTCCCTCTGTCCATCAGCACCTTCCTCTTATATTTTATTTCATTAAAATGCACTTCAAAGTAAATTGCAAAAACGTTAATACACTGCCCCATAAATAATTTAACATGCAGATTATTGCCCAGAGTTTAATATCTGTTTATAGTTTTTCTTTTTGTGTAAGATTTTTATACAGTGCATACACCTATGTAACCAAATCCTGTATCAAGATATAAACAGTTTGGTTTTTAAAAACCTTAATCATTGTCTTCATTTGTGATCCAGACTAGCATTTAGTGTGGTTCATGGTTGAAGGAAAGTATAGTTCAGAACTGCTTCGGTGGGATCTGTTGTGGGATCCTTCCCATGAATTCTTTTTGACTATTTATGTACAGGCATTGCTTGTTTTATTGTGCTTTGTAGGTGTTACAGGGTTTTTTAAAATATATAAATTGAAGGACTTTTTTGTGGCAACCCTGCATCAACCAGGTCTATCAGTGCTGTTTTTCCAGCAGTATTTGCTCACTTCATGTCTCTGTGTCACATTTTGGTAACTCTCACAGTATGTCAGACTTTTTCATTATTACTATATTTGTTATGGTGATCTGTGATCAGTGACCTTTGTGGTTACTTATTGCAAGAAGATTGACTTGCTGAAAGCTCAGATGATGGTTAGCATTTTTTAGCAATAAAGTATTTCTTAACTGAGGTGTATATATATTGGTTTTTTTAGACATAGGGTATTGCACACTTAGTAGACTACAGTATGTTACAGAATTATATAAACATAACTTTAACTTTTCTATGCACCAGGAAACCAAAAAATTTGACTCACTTTATTGTGACTTTAACTTTATTGCAGTGGCCTGGAACCAGACTCACAGTATCTCTGAAGTATGCTTGTTTTCTGTAGCTGGAAAAACATTTTGTGTAAAGAAAATGGCTAAAAGATGGGGTTCAAATCCACAGCTATACTCTTTCACAGTTCCAACTAGTAAAACTAGTCTTCAGACTCCAGACAGCTTGTTTAATTTGTCTGAATCACCATTTCTTTATCTCTATTCAGGGCTGGTATCTTCCTTAAGAGTAATTATGAGTACAAGTCAGATTATTCTATTCTGTAAAAAGTAATTCTTCAAATAATTTCCCTGGCATGGGAAATGCACCGTCTGGCCCCTAATGTTGTGCTTCTCTCTCATTTCAGATGCCAAAAATAGACTTTTTTGACTATTCTAAATTGACTCCTCTTGATCAGCGCTGCTTCATCCAAGCTGCTGACCTCCTGATGGCCGACTTCAAAATGCTCAGCAGTCAGGACATCAAGTGGGCCCTGCATGAGCTCAAAGGACACTATGCAATCACCCGAAAGGTGCTCTACTTGGTCTTCCTGGTGGGGTCACACCTCTTGACTATTTCCCATGATGACAGTGAAGAGTTCAGCTTGTGGAAATTGGGATGGTTTATGATGGCGAAGAGCTAAGGAGTTTGTCAGGGTGAAGATAAATAGACAAGAGTATTTGCTGATCAGGAAGAACTGAATGAAGAGAAATACAGATTAGAAGCAGGGAGTTTCTGGTTTGATCATAAAAACATGGAGGCTAATGAATTTCACCATGGAATGCTGGATGACTGGAGTGTAAAAGATGTGTTCCAGTGCTGCTCCTCCCTGATTTGCTTTCTGACGTGGGTCTGGTCACACAGTCCTCCCCCAGATAGCTCAGTTACTAGTTACATGAGGTGTAGAGTCTGTGAAGGGTCCAGGAACCCAGTGCTGCCCAAGGAGTGGTGATTTTCCTCAGAAGAGAGCAGGCAGCTACTAAAAGCTCTCAGGGTTTGGTTTTGTTTTGTTTTTTCCTTCTGGGCCCTAAATAAGATTTTATTTAAGAGCCTCTGTTCCAAGGCTTAGAAGGCTGCTGGTCAGTAGTGGGTAATGGACATGCCTCATTTAGTGAAGTCCACTGTGTGGTACCTCTTGTCATGGCGGTCAGCCAGGACAGAAGGGTGAGCACTAATAGGCCCTTAGGTTGTTCCTCTCCTCTCTCTTACCTTTAAATCTGTTGCTCCTGCTGAAGTTCTGGGGATTCTCAGCAAAAAGTGTGCTTTACTTTCCAGAAGACAAGCAAATGTGAAGTTACTTTAATGATTAAAACACCCACTGGGTCTTAACCTGAAGGAAGATGACTGTGCTGAGTCTAGGCCCTACCACTTTAGTTTGCAAAGATCCAGGTAACTCATCAAACTCCTAACTGTAGGTTCATTTTAGGTAAAATTACTCTGAAGGAAACACAGTTAGTGCTGTCTATTTCTGAATCTCATACCTCATGCTAAATAGGGAATGCGTGTACTGTCATTGAAAAATGAATGACCTCTTGCCCCACCCAGTAATGATCTTGAGAAAGAAAGGCTTCTTTCATCATTAGGCCCTGCCTGGCATCTTAACTGATCTTGTGGTGCCTTATACCTTTTCTGAGCTCCCAGGGAGCCTAGATGGAAAGTAAAAGGGCAGCAACAGCAGGCACCTCCTGGGCCTGGGGGCCAGTTGGTCCTCATTAGTGATGTCCCAGTCACCATCCTGAGGTCAGTAAGAGAAACCTCACTTGCAGACGCTTCTCCCCACCGAAGGTCTGATCCTCCCTCAGCCCACTAGGTTTTGGAAAGGAGGTTGTAGGGTTTCACTTCTTGTGGCTCAGTTCTTTCTTGTTCAAATCTTCCTTATCCTTTTCCTCGTTTTTCTGGCCCTTTGTATTTTTTATGGTGTCTGCTTGTTTTGATAGGTAAGTTTAAAATTTGCAGAATTTTGAAAAGAGGTGTGTTGGACTGTTTGAATGAATGTAAGATGTCTAAGGGGAAATAATATTTGGCAGAAGCTAAGATCTGATGTGCTCAATTAGAACTTAGAATCACCCCCTGCTGTATGCTCATGGTACACAAGGGTTCTGTCTTGTGGAAAGTGACGCTCACATGGACAGGAATGTAGAAAACACACCCAGAGATGCTTCCTAATACAGCAATAGCATGGCTTCCCTGTGCCACTCTTCAAGCATGGTGATGGCTTAGGGACTATGAAGACGCAGTCAGTTTTCCCTGGGTTTCTCTCTCTCTCTCTCTTTTTTTCCTTCACTTTTTACTATAAACATCAAATATGTATAGAAGTAGAGATGGTGTTGTAGCCAGCCCCTGCTTAGTCACAGCTTTAGTTGCTCCTGCCCAGTCTTGTTTCATTTCCACCCCTCCCCACTTCTCCCTCCCAGACTGTTTTTGAAGTAAATTCCAAGCATCATTTCATTATTTTCATCCAGAAGTATTTCAGTGTTTGTCTTTAAAAGATAAAGACAAAGATAAAATAATTAAAAGCATAAGCAAAATACCATTATCATACCTTAAAAATAACATCATTAGATATCCAATCAGTGTTCAGATTTCTCTGAATATGTCAAAAATCTTTAAGCAGCTTGTTTGGTCATAGCGAGTTCCAAGTAAAAGCTGTTTAGCGCAGTGGGTTGCTGTATTACTTAGGTCTCTTTTAATCTGTAAGCTCGCTGTCTTTCCTCTCTCTCTGTTTTTCCTTATTGCTGATTTGTTTTAAAAAAAATTTGTTTATCTTACAGGTTTTCTTTCACAGACTAGATTTTGCTGGCTACACCCTTGCAGTGAAATTAAACAACTCCTCTGTCCCCTGTATCTCCTATAAATTGATGATTAGATCTAGAATCTTGATCAAACTCAGGTTTGATTTTTTTTTCCCTCTCTTGAATTTTATTTCTAGTTCTGCCACTTGTTGGTCTGTGACTTTGAGCAACTGTCTTAAACTTACAGAACTTCAGTTTTCTGCTAGTAGTGGGTGTCTTAGATGGCTAATGTGAGAATTAGATGTGATAGTACGCAACGAGCCTGTTACACAGTGCCTCACGTATATCAGGTTTCAGTAACAAGTTCCCGTCCCTTTACAGTTCTCTCTGTGCTGCAGAATAATTTTCAAATCTTTTTACTTAAAAATTGCTCAGTGCTGTCTTCAGAGTCCATCTTTAGTGTACTGTTACATGGGCACAAGAGGCTTGCGTGAATCGGCCTGCTTAGGTCTGCAACACTGAACTCACGCTGGAGAGGCCACTCTGGTTTGTTCCCAGCCTGTGATGTGGAAGCCCGGAGTGCAGGAGATGTGTGTGCTCTTGAGGATATTTTAGCTCAACTCTTTTTATGGGTGTATGCTGCTGGTAGGCTTCTTGGAGACCCCAGTGCAGCTGCAGTAATATTTCTTCTGGTTGTAAAGCTCTGTAGGAACAGAAGTACGATCAGCACATAAGTGTTTTTAATGAATAACTTCTAAACTGGAAGGAACAGGTCATCCTTGAAACAACAGGAACTACTTCTTAAAATGAATGTTTATTTTTCATCAAAGTAATTCACTTCCATAGTTGAAAAAAATCAAATAGTGCTAAAATGCTTCCTTATAATTTTGTAAATGTCAGGCTGGAGCCCTCTCCTTCAGCCTCCTCCTCTCCTCTCTGGAGGTAGCTTTCAACTCTTTAATCTGTTTTTTTTTTCTGGTATTTACTTCCATATTTATGAACATATTATGCTTGATTCATTTGTTACAGAAATTATTCTAGTTTTATGGTAGTTGGAGGTTCTAGATCTCACACACACCCTCATCTTTTCAGTATACAGTTTTGTTAAATCTGTTTTTAGAATTTTCATTATTATGACTATGGAAATACTCGCTGCTAGGGCAGGTTATGTACTATGATAATATTTCCTCTCTTAAGTTTTTTGTTTTCCTTAAATTGAGGTAAAATGAATTGCCTTTGTTTTTTTCATTTGCTTTTTTTGTTTTGCTTTTTTGACTCTGTGGCTAACACCCAACAACTTTAAAGTTGTTCTGATTACAGTTTTGTTTATTGTCAAACCTGTCAAATCTGTTTTGTTTTTCTTTACCCAGAGCCCTCTTTCCTCTTCCAGTCTGTTCTTTTTTTTTAGTTGAATTATGGTTGATATATAATATTATGTAAGTTATAGATGTATGTTCTAGTGGTTCACAATTTTTAAAGATTCTACTCCATTTATAGTTATTATAAAATATTGGCTATATTCCCTGTGTTGTACAGTATATCCTTGTAGCTTATTTTATACCTAATAGTTTGTACCTCTTAATCTCCTACCCCTCTATTGCCCTTTCCCCCTTCCCTTTCCCCACTGGTAACCTCTAGTTTGTTCTCTGTATCTGTGAGTACTGCTTTTTTGTTATATTCACTAATTTGATGTATTCTTTTTAGATTCCATATGTATGGTAAAATGATGCCATATAGTATTTGTCTTTCTCTGACTTATTTCACTTAGCATAATACCCTCCAAGTGTACCTAAACTGTTGCAAATGGCAGTATTTCATTTTTTATGGCTAAGTAGTATTCCACACCCTCTTTATCCATTCATTTGTTGAGGGACTCCAGTCTGTTCTGATTGTTTTCCACACCTACTGCGTGGCTGTTGTCTTGGGAATTCCCTTTTCCTTTTGACAGATATTGATCTTCTGTATTCTAGATCCTGACAATTTTCCTGTGTCTTCCTTTACACACTCATACTCTGCTAATGTTTCCACGAGATTGAAAATTATTTCCCCTCCTAATTTTCTCAGTAATTCTGCCACAGGTATGACTACCTCTTTCTTTTAGTTAGTTGAATGCCTGCCACAGGTCACACATTGAGAATGTCACAGTAGACAGTACAAGATCCCTTCCCTCATGGAGCTTAATGCTAGTGGACAGGGCCATCTTCTTTAACCCCTCCCTTGTCTTCTGCTCTCTGATGTGATCATTTTGAGGGTCTCCACCACCTGGGCTTCTAGATTTCTCCCTCTGTGTACTTGAATGGTCACCTCTGTTTCCATGCAGGTGATGTATCCCTGTCTCTGGACCTGACCTTTCCACCAGGCTCCACAGAGGAGTCTGCCCACTCGTCAGCTTTTACATCATCAAATGCCCATTGTCATGTTTTGCAGTCATCCCTTAAAGGAATTTTGACTGTTGTCACACATGGCCTAAAAATCTTACCAGACTGTATCCTTGATTCTCAGAACTAATACCTTGGATGATTTGATATGTGATTGTGAGCAGGCTGAAAGGAGAAGTGCCAGAAAAAAAACAGAAGGAAAAATTGTTCTTCATTATCTGTTGTTCTGAGTTCTTCCTGGTAGGTTTTTGGAGTACTTAACTTTGTGGTAATTACTGGCTAGACCCTTAGGACACTGGCATCTGTAGAATACAAATTAGCTTCCTTCCAAAGAGCTTTCAGTCTGTTTGAGGAGATTAAAGTTAAAAAAAAGAGGCTAAAACAGTATATTGAGTGTTACAAAAGGGTGTGAATAAAAGTACACTAGAGCACTAGGAAAGAAATAAAGATATCATTTGAACAGGGTCTTAAGGATGCTTTCAATAGAGAAACAGTATGTGCAAAAGCTAAAGGTAAGAAAAAGCGTGGTGCCTTTGAGGTGTGTGGCCTGAATTACAACCAGCAGGTCTTGAAAGGAGGAAACTCTGATTCTGTAATTTGTCTGCTTAACTAGATCTTTAGGATTGATTGTTAGTGTAACCATTAAAGGAAGATTTTTGGAGGCTCCTTAATTTTTAGGCCACATTTTAAGATACAGCTTCCTGACAATACAAGTTTGTGTTCATATATATGGGATTTTTCCCTGCCAGAAACAGTATTCAAATGAGACCAAGGTAATGACCCCATTTCTCCCAGTCAGGAGTCTCTGTGTTTTATGCAGTGTGGTGTGGTTAAAACCCAGAGGACTACCTACCGGTTAGGAGCTCTGAATTCACATTTCATTTATTAGTTGCTGATAAATGATGGCTACCATTTAATTACCTCATTTATAAATGCAAATCATAATAACTTGTTCTGACTCCTTTCCTGGGTTTTTGCAGGTAGCCCTGGTTCAAGGGTGGGTAAAACTTGGTATAAAATTAGTCTTTAGGTAAAACTTGGTATGAAATTAGTCTTGCAGTTGAGTACAAACACGTGACTGTAAGATTAGTGCCTAAGGTTTCGTGGGGAACACCTCAGGCAGTGGGGAATTCCAGAAAGAAGAAACAGAAAACAAGGGACGAGGCACTGCAGCTGTGGAGGATGTTATTCAGGGATATAAAAAGGTAGCAAGATGAATTTTACTGTCAGCCGGCTCTTGATGGGGTTTCACTGAGTCTGAGGACAAGGTGATGTCAAAGAGAGGCGCTTTACTTCAGAGACTGGCTTGAGTTCCCGTCCTAACTTTAATTAAGTTTTGACTGGGGGCAAGTTCCTTCTCCTCTCTTAAGTCTTGCTTCCCTTTACTATAAAGTGAATAATACCTCCCTCAGAGAATTGTGAGAATTAAATAAGTAAGGAATTGAAAAGTCCACATGTAGTGGACGCATAGGAGGCGCTAGATCCAGCAAATGGAATTCCCTTCTGATTCCCAGACTTACGAGCTTTGAAAAGCAAGGAAGGTAGGAGGTATATTTGCAGAGGATGATCCTTTCCTCATCTGTAGGTAAAATGCTCATTTTCTTTTGTTACCATTTTACCGCAGGAGTACACAGCTGTTTAAGACAAACCAATCCAGAATGTGATTTATTAGCAGCATTGCTGTAACACATATAAAATCCCTGTAACCTTTTATTTACCAAACAAGTATTAAATGTAAACCATGCAAGTTGCTGAGGAGACACCCTGAGCTGCAGTAACATTCCCTGTCCTCTCCAGGCTCACAGTCTAATGGAGAAAATAACGTGAAACTGATCAAACAAATAAGAATATAATTATAAGTGCGATAAATACTTTGGAAGAAAAATGCAAGGGGCTTTGAAAGAGTACAACAGGAGGACCTCCCTGAGCAAGTGACATTTAATCACAAACCGAAGTGCTGCATAAGTAGGAGTTTAGCACGTGGGGGTGTGGAAGACGGGGGTGTCATTCCTGGGATAAGGAATCCTGGAGAGGAGCTACTTTGGAGGAAAGGATCATGAATTCTATTTGGGAAACGTTGAATTGCCAGCATGCTGTATGGGTCCTGTGAGACATCCAAGTAAAAATAATTCACTGGGTGGCTGAATGGACAAAAAAGGTGGGAAATACGGACTGGAGAAGGCATTTTCAGGCAGTGAGGAAGGAGGAAGTCAGGAGAGTGAGCAGTCGGCTTCATTAGTACTGCTGAGAGATCCAGTGAGATGAGCACTTAAGGAAGGTGTTGGAGTCAGCCCCATGTTAGGGAGATCAGGAAGTAGAAGGGTTGAGGCAGAGGCCAGGATAGTGGGAGTTGGAAACTCAAGGGAGGTGAGGTGATGGAATAATGTACACGTGGCTCTTTCTGATATGTTTCACTACAAAGAGAAGGAAGAAGGAAAGGAGATGCTGGTAACTGGAAGGGGAAAGAGGTCAATGGAGGAAAGGTCTTTTTTTAAGATCGCAAAGATTTGAGCACCTTTTAATGCCTGTTGGAAAGATCTAAAAAGGGAAGAAGCTAAAGGTATAGAAGAAAAGGAAGTATTGCTGGCATAAGAATTTTGTGCTCCCATGTGCAGTACAAAGTGGGGATGTGGGTGTGAGCAGAGAGAATGTGGGGGAATTAGAGGGGGAGTGTTTATCAGAGAAGCAGCATGTAAGACACTGCCTGTAAAACACAGCTTATAGCCATTTGTTCCGTGATTTAACCTGTGCTTATTCAGGGGCAGCTTCAATAGCTGTTTGTTTTCTTATGTACCCCTTTAATTTGTCAGAAAGCATTTTGGTTCTGCCATTATAGCAGTTGGTGAAAGAGAAAATGAGCATGATGAAATGCTACCTGCTTATTTTGTCACTGCTTTTTCTGGCAGGCCACGTAGGGAAGATGGCTGACTGGGAGTGATGACAAATTTGGGGATTGCCTATGTTTCACCTGTTCTTGTGTCCCATTTACAGTGGTAACCTTTCCCTTTCTCAATTTTTAGGCCTTTTCTGACGCCATTAAAAAATGGCAGGAGCTATCACCAGAAACCAGTGGAAAAAGAAAAAAGAGAAAAGAAATGAATCAGTATTCCTACATAGATTTCAAATTTGAACAAGGTAATGGCCAACTGTGAGTGTTGCTGATGGCGTGTGAAGCTCCTGTGTAGAGCTGTCCTCTCCTGTGCAGCCTGTAAGGGGCATCGTGGTGCAGCTGCTTAGAAATACCCTGTCACAGCAGTCTGAGGAGTGGCACTAACATGACTCCTTTGATGACACATCAGTGTTTTTAGAAGGTGGCTGCAGCTGTTTTCTTCTTTCTGTTTAGGATACACCATGACAGGAAAATTGTATGTAGTGTTAGAGATTCATGTGTGGAAAAGTGGGGACATTCTTAAGCTTGGGGGGAAAATGTATCTTGAAGACTTGATGAGAATTAACCTTATTACTACATCGTAAAAACCATGTAGACCAGTGATTGATTGCTTACTGCAGAGAAGTCACTTAACCACCTGAGAGATTAACTTCTGCACAGAAGAAAACCCGAACAGCTTTTAAATTGCCACTTCAACTGTTTATTTAAAATTCTGTTATTCATATTGATGAAATAACTGCTGAAAGCTCTTTCAAAGATGTTAAAGTCTAATCTGCCCCCAAAAGGTAAACTGCCTGAATTTTGCAACAAATTTGATCTTTGTTGCTTATGTCCAAGAAAGAGTCTACTTCAACTTATCCTGTAGATTATGTCATGAATAAGAATTTTTCCATTTTCTTTTCTCCTATTTTTCTGTTATATCTGTAATTAATTACATAAGTTCAGGTGCAACTAAATGGAAAATCCATGAGATAGCTATAGTCTTGGAAGGTATTTGAATTTCTGAACTCTTCAGGATCTAAAAGAAAATCCCCTAGGCTCTGACTTCTAAGATCCCCAAGCTGTTCTGTGAGGCATGCTCTTCTGACATGACATTCTTACAGGTCTGTGGCAGAATGAAAGTGGGGACATGTATCGGTGGTTTTTCATTCAGCTGAATTTACCCACAGTTTAGACTATTAGGCATCCCTAATACGTAGTCATTCAGTATTTGTTTCTTACTTTCATTGGTAGAGAAAAGAAAGTACCACTTCACAAGATGATTTACTCCCTTGTTTATTAGCATCTTTAGAAACTTCATTTATATCAAGCCAAAAATATACCTTCCTGACATTTCCTGCCATGGTTGTAGTTCTTGCCTCTGAAAGGACTTGGAATCTGTCAGTTGCTTCTTCATCTCCTGATTGCCCATCTCCGGGTCTTTCTCTAGCTGTTTCTCTTGGAAAGTTCAGGTGTACGAGGCTGGACATAGTACTCCACATGAGGCCTGCTGTGTAAAGACAACAGCTAGGATTTAGGTGCTATAATTGAACCCATACAGTTAAAAACACCTTAGCTTTTAAAAATCAAAATATGTCCCATCATTGGCTCATTAAACCTTTGTCGTTTCACCCACCTTGCTTTTTAAGTCACAGACCTCTCAGTTTTGATGCATCTGACATTCTTCCCTGTTAAACGTCATCATATTACTTTCAACCCATTCTTTCAGGTATACCCCTATGATTTTACATTCTGATTCTTAAATTGCACTTAATAGATCATCTTTAAGAACACTGGAAGTTAGCAATAGAGAATATACTTGATTTACATTAGTAGTTTAATATTTTATGACATAGATACACTTAGTCTTCTTTGAAAGCAGTTTATAAGCACATATGCTAAGAATCCTGCGTTTGTTCCGGGAATCCCATTCTTCACCTTTTCAACTGTTTTCCATCCAAGCACTGTTGTTTGGGCTGTATATCATTTGACTCAAAGAGAGAGACCAGATTCTCCCTCCACTGTCCTTTTTTTGAGGTTTTAAGAGCCAGCCACCACATAGCCTTTCTTGTAGAGTCTGGTTAGAATTTGGATGTAAACTGAACATGGATAAAAATGCAACATATCAGGGCTGATGAAGAAAAGAGAAAACACAAATTTCCAATATCAGGAGTTATTCTTTATAGGAGATATCACCGTAAGACCCTTCCAACATCCAAAGAAGAATACTGTGAACAACTTTACACACATAAATTTGACAACTTAGCTGAAATGGACCAATTCCTCAAAAAACAAAACTACCAGTAAACCTAGCTATATAAAGTAGATAATTTGGATAGCCGTATAGCTATTAAGGAAAGTGAATTCATAATTTTAAATCTTTCCAGAAAGAAATCTCCATGTCAATTGGTTTCACTGGAAGATTCTTCCAAACATTTTTAGAAGAATCAATACCAATTCTACACAATCTTTTTCAGAAATTAGAAGAATGGGAAACACTTTTCAATTCATTTTATAAACCTAATGTTAATCTGATAACAAAACTGAGCAAAGACAGTACAGCCCCGCCAAAAAAAAGACTAGACTGATATTCCTCATAAATATAGATACAAAAACCCATAACAAAAATTAGCAAATACAACTTTGTTTAAATATATAATGTAAATATATTTTACATAAATATATGAAATATTTATATACATGTGTACTTTGTATTTATTTTAATATGCACTGTACATTTATATGCATATATGAGTAAATTTTTGTAAATATATATATTAATGTATAGATTACATAATTTTTAATGTGCATCATGACCAAATGGGATGTTTTCCAGGGTTGGAAGACTGGTTCAAGTATTTTAAAACCAATCAATATCATCCACCACATTAACAGATTAAAGAAGGAAAAGCACATGACCCTAACAGTTGATGCAGAAAAAACACTTAACAGTATTTAACACCTATTCATGATTAAAACTCTCCAGAAAATTGGGAATTGAGAGGCACTTCCTCAACTTGATGACATCTACAAGAAAATCTATAGCTAACATCATACTTAATGGTGAATCCCTTTCCCCTAAGATCGGGAACAAGGGAAGGATGTTCTCTGTTCACTGCTATTCAATACATACTGGAAGTTCTAGCCAACACAGTAAAGAAAGAAAGAAAAGGTATAGATCAGAAAGGAAGAAATAAAACTGTTCCTAAACAAGCAGATGACATGATTATCTACATAGAAAGCTCCCCCTAAAACTCCTAGAACTAATAAATGAGTTCAGTAAAGTTGCAGAATATAAGATCAACCTAAAAAAACCAATTGTATGTTTACATACTAGCAAGGAAAATAATGGAAGTCAAAATTTAAAATACAATGCCATTTACAGCCGCTCTGAAAACAATTAAATACTTAGATGTGACTCTTAACCAAATGTGTACAGGACTTATATACATGATTAAAACTATGAAACACTGAAGAAGGAAATCAAAGATGTCAGTAAATGGAGACACGTATTGTTTTCATGGATTGGAAGACTCAACATAATAAAGATATGAATCCCCCCCAAATTGATACACGTGCTTGATGTAATTCCTATCAGAATCCCAGCAAGATTTTTTTGTAGATATAGGCAAGTTATCCTAAAATTATCCTAAATTTTATATGGGAAGGCAAAGTACTAGAATAGCTGAAATAATTTTTAAAAAGAAGAATAAAGTGGAAGAAGTAAGTCTACCAGATTTCAAGACTTACTGCACAGCTACAGTGATAAATACCAGGTGCTTTTGGCAGAAATATAGACACATAGACAGATGGAACAAAATAGAGAACCAAAAACTGATTTTCTGAATAATCAATGAAAAGGTAAAATTTTTAATTTTTAAAAACTAATGAGAACAACAACAAAAAAAAACTAATGAGAACGAACAAGAGGAAAAAAAATGTATCAGGGTATAGTAAATATTGGCAAATCAAAAGAGATTACCAAAAAAAAAAGGCTTTTATGAGTAGGTTGAAAATCTGGATGGAATAGACAGTTTCCTAGAAAACGTAAATCACCAAATCAACAAAAGAAACACAAAGCCTAAAGCAGACCAATTGCGGGATCTGACATTTATCGTTCCCACTAGCTTTTATTCTAAGTGTAATTTACTGTAAATCTAGATAATACTATTTTCTATCTTTGAAATTTTCAAAATTGAAAAAAAAAAATTAAACATCATAAAAACGCATTGTGCACCTACCAGAATGGCTAAAAATTAAGAACTGATGGCATCAGGTGTTAATGATATTGTGGAATGCCTGAAACTCACCTACATTGCTGTTGGAAGGAGAGTGTAAATTGGAACAAATACTTTGGAAAACTGCCACTGTTTCCGAAAGCTGACCCAGCATTTCTAGTCCATGTATACTCAACTGAACTGCAGACATATGTGTAGCAGCCCTGGTCATAATAACCCCAACCGTAAACCTGCCTGTCCTGAATAGTGAATGGATACCAAATAATGGTATATTCAACAATGCAGTACTGACAGGTTAGAGGAGACCTTCCAGCTGGAACATAACAAGGTGGGGTTGGGGGGAAGAAAGTCAGAAAGTACGTGGAATGTTAGGGAATGGTAAGGAGCCCAGTTTTCCCAAAGAGATGTTATGGGAAAGTCAGGAAACATCCCAGTGAAATAAGTGGGGGACCAGCAACAGAAGGCTGGGATGGCTGGCCTGGATTCCTAGCAAAACAGTTGTCTGCATGATTTTGCATTGTCATATATCTTCTAGGTGACATAAAAATAGAAAAGAGGATGTTCTTTCTGGAAAATAAGCGGCGACATTGTAGGTCCTATGACCGGCGTGCCCTCCTTCCAGCTGTGCAGCAAGAGCAGGAGTTCTATGAACAGAAAGTCAAAGAGATGGCAGAGGTAGGAGGATGTGCTCGGAATGTGTTTCTAGGATTCTGGTTTGGTTTGCCTTTGGGACTTAGTATAAAACTGTCTTTTAAGATTTGCATCTTCTTTCAAGTGATTAATTTGAATAAACTATAAGGTTTTTAAAAGGAAAACAAAACTAGATTTTGTAATGATGCTAAAGTTCAGAGTTTCATAAATCAGATTTATGTTAGAGAATTTTGACTGGAGCTTAGTTAACGTATTTGTTTCACCTTCTTCAGCCTCTAATGGTGGAGAAAAAACAGAGAGATTCCATTCAGCTCTTTGGTTCTTCCAAATACACTCTCAAATGTACAAGTCAACTGGAATATGTATATATTGATTATTTAATACAGGCATACCTTGGAGATATTGTAGGTTTGGTTCCAGACCATCGCAATAAAGTGAATATCACAGTAAAGCTAGTCATATGAATTTTTTGATTTTCCAGTGCATGTAAAAGTCATATTTATACTGCACTGTAGTCCAGTAAGTGTGCAAAAGCGTTGTGTCTAAAAAAAACGATGTCCATGCCTTTATTAAGAAATACTTTATTGCTAAAAAAAGGCTGTTATCTGAGCTTCCAGTGAGTCATAATCTTTTTGCTGGTGGAGGGTCTTGCCTCTCAGTGTTGGTGACTGTTGATTGATTGGAATGGTGCTTGCTGGCGTTTGGGGTAGCTGTCCAGATTTCTTAAAATGTGACAGCAGTGATGTTTGCCGAATCGATTGATTCTTCCCTTCATGAATGACTTCTCTGTAGCATACAGTGCTGTTTGATAGCATTTTACCCACAGTAGGACTTCTTTCAAAATTGGAATCAGTCCTCTCAGATCCTGCTGCTGCCCTGTCAGCTAGGTTTATGTGATTTTCTCAGTCCTTTGTTGTCATTTCAATAGTCTTCATAGCATCTTAACCAGTAGTTCCCATCTCAGGAAATCGCTTTCTTTGCTCATCTATAAGAAGCCGCTCCTTACCCATTAAAGTTTTATCATGAGATTGCTGTAGTTCAGTTATAATTCTAGGTCCCTTGCTATTTCTCCCACATCTGCACTTACTTCCTCCTTGAAGTCATCCATGAGTGTTGGGTTCAGCTTCGTCCAAACTCCTGTTAATGCTGATATTTTAATCTCTTCCCATAAATTTCGAATGTTCTTCATTGCATCTGGAATGGTGAATCCTTTCCAGAAGCTTTCAGTGAACTTTGCCCAGATCCATCAGAGGAATCAATGTCATTATGGCAGCTATAAGCCTTACAAAATGTATTTCTTAAATAATAAGACTTGAAAATCAAAAATTACTCCTTGATCCCTGGGCTGCAGAATGAATGTTGTGTTAGCAGGCATGAAAACAGTAATCTCATTCATTAGAATTCTTGGGTGACCAGAAGCATTTCAATGAGCAGTAATATTTTGAAAGGAATCCTTTTCTGAGCAATTGTCAACAATAAGCTTAAAATATTCAGTAAATTATGTTATAAATAGATACACCATCATCTAGGCTTTGTTTTTCCATTGATAGGACACAGGCAGAGTAGATTTAGCAAAATTTTAAGGAACCGAGAATTTTTGGAATGGTAAAGGAGCACTGGCTTCAGCTTCAAGTCATCAGGTGCATGAACATCTAACAAGAGAGCCTGTCCTTGAAGCCAGGCGTAACTTCTCTCTAGCTGTGAGAGTCCTAGATGGCATCTTCTTTCAGTAGAATGCTGTTTTGTCTACATTTGAAAATTTATTGTTTAGTTTAGCCACCTTTCTTAGCGAGATCTGGAGAACTTGTTACAGCTTTTATATCAGCGGTTTCAGCTTCACCTTGTACTTCTATGTTATGGAAATGACTTCTTTTCTTAAACCTCTTGAACCACCCTCTGCCAGCTACCAACTTCTGTAGCTTCCTCAGCCTCACTCAGCCTTCACAGAATTGAAGAGAATTAGGGTCTTGCTCTGGATTAAGCTTTGGCTTAAGGGAATATTATGACTGGCTTCATCTTTTGTCCAAACCGCTTAATCAGTCTTTTTGATGTCCACATCATCCCATCTTTGGCCAGTGGCATCACCTTCCTGTTAGTTCCTCTCTCCTGGCCCCAGTCATCGTTGACAGCATCCTTGCTTTCTGGCATACCCGGTGACCCAGGTTTAGCTTCTGCTCTTCCTAACCTGAACCTGGATCACCAGCTTCTCCAAGGCGCCTAATTTTATTTTAGTGGAAATTCATACTGAGATTTTTATTTCAATTTTGCTTTACAGGTTTTTTACTTCTTTCATTTTATGTTTGTATTTCTTTTCTCTTACGCTGAAAATCTTAATAACATTACCGTAATGGCTTATTTCCTTTATCCCATATTATATACTTAATAGTTCCAGAATAACAGCCCAATTTATTATCAATAATTAGATTTCTAAATACACTCTAAGATTTATTTATAACTTTGTTAGGTTGTATCAGATTAGTAATTTGAAATTAAAATATTATAAAGTCATTTGAAATAAGTCTGGGTGGTTATGCCATTAACTTGATAAACAATGAGGTTTATTTTTTGATTTTCAAGTTTTAAGGAATTGGTTTTTGATTTGCTTTTCATTTAATTCTGTCATGCAGTTATGTAAAGTATTTTTAGTTTTAATGTCAAAACTATTATAAAACGAGAAACATTCAGAGAGATCTCGCCTCTATCCTATCCCTCCCCACCCCCAACTCCCTCTGTAATAACCATTATGAATAGTTTCTGGTTTATCTTTATATGCACACACACACACATACATACATACATACACACACACATTTTATTTACCTTTCTTTCTTACCTAAAAGGTATACACTGTTACGCCCTTGCCTTTTTCATTTAACAGTGCATCCTGGCAATGACTTCACAGCATTCCATGGAGATTTTTCTCTTTTCTTTTAAAACTTCCTAGTGTGCCACTGTGTACAGTAAGAGTTGTTATTCCCCCATTGATGGACATTCAGGGTTGTTTCCAGTTTTTTGCTGTTATAAATAGTGCCATGATCAATAACTTTGTGTGTACATCATTTCATACATCTGCCCCAGGTAACTTTGGGATAGATTCCTAGAAGTAGGATTGATGAATTAGAGTATAAATACTTACGTAACTGTTACACAGTGCCAGATTCCCCTCCATAGTGGTTGTACTATTTTGCATTCTCATGAGTAATATACCAGAATGCATGTTTCCTCCCCTAACCTCAGCAGAAAAGTATGTTGTCAGACTTGATTTCTACCCATTCAGTTTTTTGTTTGCTTGTGCTATTCTGTGCTCTTCATAAATGTATTATTCCTTCTATATTTCGAGTCAGATTTCAGAACCTTTTCCCAATATTTTCTAGTACTTGTATGGTTTTCTTTTTTATGTTTAGCATTCTGATGCATTTTAAATTTACTCTCAGTAAACTTTTTAAGGTACTAAACTAAGTAACTGAAAAGGTGAGTTATTTTTTTTTTAAAGAAAGTTTTTTGGTTTTTTGTTTTCTTTAATGGAGGTACTAGGGATTGAACCCAGGACCTCATGCATGCTAAGCATGCACTCTACCACTGAGCTATACCGCCCTCTACCCCGATAACTATTAATCATACAATTCTTTTATGTTTATGGAAATAAATGCTAAACGGTTTATGTCATCTTTACTAAATTCGCATCTGTGTGTATGATTTTTTGTTCCTCAGCATGAAGACTTTTTGCTTGCCCTGCAGATGAATGAAGAACAGTATCAAAAGGTAGTTAGAAATCTCACCTAATTCATTTATTCTGGATATTTTCATTGGCTGTTTTTCTCATCACATTTCCTGGACGTTTTGTTGGCAAATTGGTTCCCACATAACCTCCTATTGATCTGCTGAGTTTGTAGTTCAACTAAAGTTACAGTCAGATACTAAACCCGTTATAGTTAACTTTCTACCAAACTGAATCAGACTTGAAGGAAAGATAATATTGTTAGTCTTGTTCTTAAAAACATTGCCTGGAACTCATTGGATACACTCTTAGAGCAAAATTTAGAATTCATGTATCACCTATAGAGAACGAATAGCTATGTCTAACCTCAGGACCAGATGGATTTTTTCTGATGTCTGTCATCCTCACATAGTGGCCTTTTCTAACATGCTAGAAATGGACTAGTGACTGAATCAGTCATTGCCATTAATAAATAAGTTTCCTAGTACTCATGGTACTTGAGATTGCTGCTTTATGTAGCTTCACTATTGTTTCAACAAGAAGAGCATAATCCAACTTTTGAGACCTTGTTAGTTTCATGCCACTTGTCTCTGATTCTTGTAATCTTGTTGGCATCTGATTACAGATGTTATAATTCTGCTGGTACTATGGAATTCATGAATATGATAACTTTATTCAAATGATGATGCCATAGAATACCCCTAAAAACCATGAAAATCTCACTGTCTTTAGCTATGTATTACTATTTGTACTAGCATTTTAAGCTAGATTTATACAGCAGAAAACAGCGCATCGTTTAATAGGTTCTAAGGATTGCTTTTCACCTCAGAACGTGTTTGAGGGCAGAGGGAAATGAAACATGCCTGCCCCTCTACTTGAGTGCAGGGAATTTCATGTGTGTTTCTGATGGCCTGCAGGATGGCCAGCTGATTGAGTGCCGCTGCTGCTATGGGGAGTTTCCATTCGAGGAGCTGACACAGTGTGCAGATGCTCACTTGTTCTGCAAAGAGTGTCTCATCAGATATGCCCAAGAGGCGGTCTTTGGATCTGGAAAGGTAAGAACCATGCATTGTGTCCATACATAGGAAACATTCATAGGGTCTAAGGAGACCACATTCATAGACAAGTGTAAACACCTCATGAAAATGCCTTTCCTGAGGTGAGGTAATTAATTATTTTTAATGGAGATACTGGAGATTGAACATGCCTCATGCATGATAGGCACACACTCTACCACTGAGCTATACCCTCCCCCCAAAATGAATAATATTTTAAGCAAGGTTATATTTTTTTTGTCCAAAATCACTTTCTCTTGACAACAACAGAACAATATGGAAAGCAGTTTTGTTTTGTCTTAATGAACACTTAAAAACCAAATTTGCTTTTCATAAAATATCCCACCGATAATCAAATCACATGACATCGATTATTCTAAAATCAATTGTAGTTTAGTCAAGGACTGAGTAACAGTTATGAGCAGAGTGGTTGTGATTAGCAGAATACAGGCACACCTCAGATATTGCAGTTTCCATTCCAGGCTACTGCACTAAAGTGAATATCACAATAAAGTGAGTCACAAATTTTTTGGGTTCCTTGTGCATAGAAAAGTTATGTTTACACTATACTGTAGTGTGTAATAGCATTTTATGGCTTTTAAAAAGTCCATTCCTTAAAAGTGCTTCATTGTTAAAAAATGCTAACCATCATCTCAACCTTTAGTGAGTGGTGATCTTTTTTGCAATGGTAGCATGAAAGATCACTAATCACAGATCACCATGACAAATAAAATAGTAGTGAAAAAGTTTGAAATATTGTGAGAATTACCAAAATGTGACAGATGTAAAGTCAGCAAATGCTGTTGGAAAAATGGTGCCAGCAGACAATGCAGGGTTGCCATAAACCTTCAATATGAGAAAAACACAGTATCTGGGAAGCACAATAAAATGGAGCATGCCTGTGATGGACCCCCAAAGATGTCCACATCCTGATCTTCAGAACCTGTGAATATGTTACCTTACATGGCAGATGGAAATTAAGGTTGCTAATCAGATGACCTTAAATAGAGAAATTGTCCTGGATTATCCAGCAAGGCCTGGTATAATCTCCAGGGTCCTTAAAAATGGTCAAGAGAGGCAGAAGACAGAAGGTCAGAGTGATGTGGTGTGAGGAGGACTCAACTTGCTATTAGTGGCTTTGAAGATGAAGTCCAGACCATCCTCCTTTCTCTTGGAAGAGTTTTAGTCATCTGACTCCATCTGAAGGATGTAGGAACTGGGTGCTTTTCAAACAGTCCCCCTGTTTTTAGTTTATATTTCTGTCAGTCCTCTCCCCTCCTGTCACTCGCCTTTGCCTTCTAAGAGGTTTAGGCCTCCAGCTTTTCCATGGACTGTAGAGGGAATCAGCTTGCTTCTCCTGAGGATCTCCTTTTCAGACACTGAGCTATGACCTTCCTCCTCCGGTCTGCCTAGCACTTAACCTTCTTTGTCTGCTTCCAGTCTTCCTGTGTTGTGGTTTGGGCTGATAGAGGTCCTCTAGTGGAATCTGAGATGGACTTTGTGTTTTTGTTTCATGGTTTTCTTGTTTTGAGTGTGGTTTCTCAGAGAAAAGGGGACAAGAAGATCTTTACCATCTCAGGGTCTGTGTTCTGAACCACTGTTTATTTGCTTCTCATTGAAAGATGCCATTTAACCACTGAGGTTTTTTGTGTTTCTGAAGTGTTGATAAACATTTTTTCCCTTTGCCTCCTGACTTTATCATTCTAGTCAGAGCTCAGCTGCATGGAAGGCAGCTGCACGTGCTCATTCCCAGCAAGTGAGCTGGAGAAGGTGCTTCCCCAGACCATCCTGTATAAATACTATGAGCGGAAAGCAGAAGAAGAAGTTGCTGCAGCCTACGCTGATGAGCTTGTCAGGTGAGTTCCCAGAGTCAGAGTCATCTGTCAGCTCAGTCCCCCCGTAGGAAGGCTACCTGGGAGGCACATTCACTGATAGTGAATGTTCTGTAACAGAGCTGTCTCAGGGTTTATGGAGTTTTTTGCTTTGAAATAAAAGAATAACTTTACTAATGGGAAAATCTGCAGTTCAGATTTTCACTCACATTCCTCGGCACCTCTTACTCATCTGGCTTATAGGTATAGTCCTTGTGCGTTTGTTTAGAGGAAAGGTGACGTGTGTAATTTGTCCTCAGAAAGGTATGTTTGTTGAGTAGTTTGCACTGAGGAAGGACGCAAAATGGCACCTTCATTTCCTGGTGAGAGCCGGCACAGAAGAGCCTGGGTCCGTGTTTTAATGAGAATTAAGGAGTAAAAGGAGGTGTGGCTGTCCAGTTGAAAACTCTGTCTTAGTGTGAACAGTCACGTGGAACTAAGGCAGACTTTACTATTCTGAGTAATATTCCTTCTGCTGTTTTGACTCTAGGTGCCCCTCCTGCAGCTTCCCTGCTCTGTTGGACAGTGATGTGAAGAGGTTCAGTTGTCCCAATCCTCGCTGCCGAAAGGTAGGGGGGCACATTTTTTTTTCTAAATTCATATTTGAATTATGGTATTATGGGCTACCTTAGTGGCACAGATACCTGCTGGTTTTCTGCATGCTGAAGTATTTTCATGAAAGCAAATGGAGGTTGGTACTCTGTGAATACTAACTGACATGGTTACAGAGGTCGGGGCCATTTGTGGAGTTTGTCACATAGCTCTGGATCCCTATTTTATGCCATCTTCCTATAAGGGCAGAGACTGTAATGTAAAATGTGAAGGGTTTTATGTTTCTTCTACTGTGCTAGCATTTTTCTTGCTCTTTCACCACCCTGTTTTGCTCAAATACGTCTTTTCTGTGTGCGCACATGAGCTCACACACACTTCCTGCCATTTTCAAAGTCCAAGTGATATTTCTTTGAAGAATTGGGCATCATGGTGGCATCTGTGTCACATCTGGTAGATGATTCACTCACCTGTTGTCGTGAGGACTGATTATGCCAGGTGAACCAAAATCTAGTTACCTTGCTGCTGAAAATCTTGCCTTTAACTAGACTCGTACTCTGTGAACTAAGAATGTCTTGAAATTTGTCAACCATTTATAAGCCACTTAAGAGTTTTTAAGGAATATAATATTGGCATCCACATAGACAAGTATGTTTTAAGCCAGTTATCTAAAATGGAATGATCAGAGTTGAGTATTATAATATCTCTCTGCCTTTGAGGGAGGAAGAAATGAAAGTAGATATTGAAAAAGGAAGAAGAAACACTGATAGGCTAAAACTTTACTCATTTTGTTTTCAGTATTAACACTTCTGTGTATAATCTGGATTTTTCTTTTATATAATTGATATATCTAGTTAGCAATTTGTACCCACGCCAGACTGTTGCTATAACAATTGTTCCAATAGTCTCTGGCATCTTGGAACCAAGAAAGCAGAGTAACTAACTGTCCTGTGTGCTTCCAGTGTCCCGAGCACTGGAATGCCTGGGAAGACAGTCCCTGAACTAAGTTACAGAGAGCAAGGAGAGGCAATAGCCAAAGGAGGAAAGGGGTGGGAGTAGAGAGGAAATGAAGATGTGGAATGTTGCAGGTTCGAGGAGCAGTAGCATCCTGGACTCTGATACTGGGAACGTGATGGGAAAGGCTGGGAGGGACCAGGGCCATGCAAGCCTTTAGCATCATTCTGAGGCAGGGGGATGAGGCTGTGAGAAAGTAGGGAGATTTGTTTGGCTGTTAGTAATCTTGGTGAAAGATTACTCATCTGTCACCCTCCTCTGGGTTCTCCGTAAGTTGCTAAGTTGCAGCTAGGAGTTGCATTTCCTGATACGATTCCGAATTAGACTCTGCCAGTCAAAGTGCTCGTATATGATTTATGAAGGCCAAAGACAGTTGCAGGAATGTTATGAGATACATAAGAGTCCAAAACAGCGTCCCATGAGTATTTTGAGAACATCCAACCTGGGATGTCAGTAAAAGCCTCCTAGGGGCTCCTTTGGAGGGGGGAAGGGGAGGTAGTTAGGTTTCTTTATTTATATTAATTTGTTTTTTAATGGAGGTACTAGGGATAGAACCCAGGACCTTATTGCAAGCTAAGCATGCGCTATACCCTCCCCCCCCCCGCTCTTAAGATTCTAGGCAGAAAAACCGAATAACTCTACTTCCTCTCTGTGGGAGGAATATACATGCCCTGTTGAACTTGGAGGAGGCCATGAAGCTTCTTTTGGGCAGTGAAATGTGATTATGGGTGCGAGATCACTTGCAGAAAAAGTGGTAAAACATATACTTAGGAGTGATGTCAGTAAGATGGTAGAATAGGCAACCCCACACCCTCCATCCCTCCTTCCTTCCGGAAATACTGATTCAGCAATCCATGGACCAGTTCCCTTTGTGAGAAATCTGGAACCCAGTTAAGAGGCTCCCGCACTCCAGACAGCACAAAGCCAGCTGCATTGAGGCCTGTAGGAAAATTAATGGAACCAGAGCTCCTCCCCCAGCACATGTAGCACACTTGGGAGGAATTCCTGATTCCTAGCTTCTCCCTGGGGAGGGAAAGAGCAGACTAGAATGTACAGTCTAACATTTGGACTTCTCTGAGGGCTACTCAAGGGGCTGGCTTTTATCTTTCCTGAATCTAAGCACTGACAGGAGGGGGCATCAGGTTTCAGATTGCCGAGAACAAAGGCAGCAGTTTGGACTAGCATACGCTCACTTGCCTTTGTCTCTGTCCTTGGCTTGTAGAAAGAACAGGAGAAAAACTGCAAATCCCAGCTTTTGCCTGGGGAGGAGGGATGGAGCATGTGTCCAGTGTTTTTCGGGGTACAGCCCAAGGGACTGGCTTCTGTCTCACTTGACGCTGAGGGCTGACGGGACCCCGTGTGCTCCAGATGCCTGGAGGCCTCTGAGAATGAAAGAGAGCTGAGAGGCTTGCTGCTGCTCTGGAGGACCCACAGGATAGTCAGGAGGAGGCCGGTACATCTCTGTGGCTTTTTCCCTCAAGCGGAAAGGAAGAGTGGGACAAATACCCAGTGTTCTCACTCTTTGGGAGGGCAAGGAGCTCTTCAAGGGACTGGTTTCTCTCTTGCCCAACTCAGAGCACTGATGAGACCCACTCTACTCTAGATGCCTGAGGGTTGCTGAAAACAAACAAGCTGCGCTGCTTGCAGCAGCTTCAGAGAACCTGCAGTACTGTCAATAGACACCAGAGGGAGCAAGAGATTACAAGCTCCTGTAAAAAGAAACCAGCAAAATCTCTAAATTGGCAAGTTAAGGGAGGGAGGGATAATTCAGTGATAGAGTACATGCTTAGTGTGCACGAGGTCCTGGGTACTGTCCTCAGTACCTCCATTAAAAATAAATTTAAAAAAAAGAAGTAAATCAATTGGGAATTTAAGTCTAGAGAAGGTTCATCCACAGAGAGGCCCCCACAATCTAAAGCCTTGTACAAAGCCAATACAAAGCCTTGCACGTAAAGCCCTGTACAAAGATTTCCTTGTACAAAGCCGGTCTGTGAAGATTGGAAGAGTATTTTTTCAAATGTGTGGGTCCTGACAAAGTAACAAGGCACAAGAAGAAAAACATGGTCCAGGGAACTATATTCAATATTTTGTAGTAACTTACGGTGAAAAAGAATGTGAAAGTGAATATATATGTGTTCATGTATGACTAAAGCATTATGCTGTACACCAGAAACTGACACATTGTAAAGTGACCATACTTAAACAAACAGAAAGAAAGAAAGGAA